AATTCTGGGAGTTGAAGTCCACTCATTTTAAAGTGGCCAAGTTTGGACAACACTGGCCTAGTGGGACTGACATCGGTTTTGCAAGCCTAGTTGTGCTGTATTTTCACCACCTCCTTAAAGTGCAGCAGATCTCCCTGAGCTGCTTTCAAATGTTATCTCGCTGTTTGGACTTAAAAAATGTTCCAGCCCTTTTTACCTAGGTAATGGTTTCTGCGTTTTTCCTTCAAGGTCATCTTGTGTATTCCCCCCACAGCCCTAGTTTTTTTCCTTGTTTTCTAAAACCCCGGGGGGCTCATTTGGAGCCCAGAAACATTCCTGGCAAAAAAATGGTTCTGGACATACAGTACATTCTTGCTTTGCAGCCTGCCAGGTTATCGTTTAAATGTTTTAAGGAAGAGAATGGGATTCCCAGCATGGGCTGAAGGAACTTTCTGCAGGCACGTTGGGAAGGGCAGTGTTGTGCAGAAAATCCAGCTTCGTGCCCCGTTCTGCATCCTGCCCTACACATCAGTATCAGCTTGCCAATTTTTAAATGCCCACCGCTGCTGTGATGGCAGAACCCTTGGCATCCCTCTCTGCCCTCAAGGCAAGTTAACAGAGGGATCCTTTTTCCCTTGCAGGACCCATTTCCCTGGGAACAGAAGGTCAGCTTTGCAAAAGGAATTGCCTCTGGAATGGTGAGCCGCCCTCCTGGGCCTTGGGAAGGGGATGTCTGGGGGCAAAGGATGAACTGTGTATGTGAGAGGGTGTGGATTGCCAGTTCGTTCAGCTGCAGTCTGAAGGTTTGCCCAAACTATAGAATGTCCCGGGGGAGCGTCAGAGATTTAGTCAGTCATGTGTTTTCCAAAGCAAGAGTGGCACAAGAGTTGGTTGCTTTATTGTATCTTTCTTCAAAGTTTGTTTATTTATTTTATTTATTAAAAAAATTTTTACAACCACCCATCTCCCCCCAATGGGGGAACTCTGGGCGATTCACAATAAACATTAGAACATAAAATATATAGACACATAAAACCATAAATTAAAACATAACTAAAAAAAAGGAG